AAAATATATATTAAAATATATGATATTATCTTTATTTTAATATAAAAATAAAAAATATTTATTAGTAAAATTAAAAACTTTTATATTGTTACCATTTTTGTAATATTTAAGTTATTTATATATTATTTATATATTTCTAATAGCTAAAGATATGAGAGACTAAGTTTTATAGTGAGAAAGATTAAAAATTATAACTAAAAATAGATAATATATATTTCTTGTTGTAATAAACTAAAATAACATTTTATAACTTTACTAAATTTTATTAAGTTTCTTTATAATTTTAAAAATTATAATTTAAAATAATAAGTTATTCAAGTAATTATCTTTCAAGTTAATAATAATATTTTATTATTTTTCAAAATTAAAATTAATATAATTTTATTAAGTTATTACTGAAGTTCTAAAACTTATATTCTAGATAACTTTTATTTTAGATAACTTTTTTAAATTATTAGTTAAGTTATATTGCTTTTATAATATTTGATAATTTTATAAATATTATTTTTGTTATAATATTATTATTACTTTTATTAAAATCTAATTGCTTGTTTTTCCAGTATTATATTATTATTTTTGTTATAATTATATTGCTAGTTTGATTATGATTTATGTATTAATATTGCTAAAATTATTGAGGTATCTTTACTATGATCATATTGCTTGTTTTACTATCTAATATTAATAAATAAGATTTTTTTTAGCTAGTGTTCAATAAGATATTAATAAATATTATTTAATAATATTATGATATAAATTATTTAATAAAATATAAGATAATTAATATAGTAAAAGTTCATATTATAATAATATAAAGAGAAAAAATAACATTTTACTATGTTTAATTAATAAATTTTGACATTGTTGCATTATTTCTAATTATCACTATATATTTTGTTATACAAACTTTTTATAATTAAATTTTATTAAATTTTAATTTTTCTTATATAAATTTATGTAACTAACTTTACAATAAAAATATTTTTTGAACTTAAAATTAAAATTATTACTATTTTTTAAATTTCTAATAAGTTCTTGTAGAAGTTATAGATAGATATTTTTGTAGATATATTTTGTAAGAAAGTATGATTATATTTTTAAATAAATTCCAGATTTTAAAATTTGATAATATTACTTTTTGTACAAACTTATATCAAAATAAAGATTATTATTTATTTTAACATATATTTTTTTGGATTCAAAGAGTGAATTTCAATTTTAGTTCAAAAATATGAAAAAATATATGTTAAAATGTAGAATATAATCTTTATTTTGATATGAAAATAAAAAATATTTATTAGTAAATTTGAAGACTTTTATGTGTTAAATTGTAAATTTTGGTAGCTTTGCATTTATTTTAATTGTAATTGTATCAAACATCTTAAAAACATATATGTTACATATTTATTAGACAAAAATTTCCTATTAGGATTTCAATTAACTGGAGAATCAGCCATTAAAATTCTAGTGGAACTATCATTTGAATATACTTCGATTTTGGCATTTTCAATAATTTTACAGTTATCGTTTATTGGCTTGGGCATATGTTCTTGGAATCAGCACATGGAAATTAGAGATGCAAACATTTCTCAGATCAAGAGTAGCTATCTAACTACGTACAATTGTACAATAACGATAAGAATGTAACCAACACAATGTTTGATAATGCGAGACAATGCTTTAGGAGATACATGTACCATCCAAATACAAGACCCCTGTATCACAACCCTATATAGAATACAAATCCGTTCCGTGCACCCGAATCTATGGTACGTACATGCATTAATTTGACAATATGTAAATTCAATTAAAAGTAATAAACTTAGAGGCAATATAAAGGCGAGCCTGTAAGTGCATTTGGTAGATATCGCTTCAGTGCTAATGTTGAGCATCACAATATCCATTTCTATCGTGACGATGAAACAAGTTGCGTAATGCCATTAAGCTGTCATGACATTCCTAAGGATACAAGTAGAACGCTTTACATTGCAGAGATTCATGTGTGATACATTAATTCATTTTACGTACTTATCGTTACGTATATTCAAGTGAATTTGAATTTTTTGGAAATCGTTTTTAACAAAAATCGCCTTTCTGCGTTATTTAACTAGCTCAATTTTGATATAATAGTTTTCCCTGGTCTGGTAAACGAAATGATATGTTGTGGGATGCACTAATAAAACAAATTGTTGTTTTTATTACCGCAGATCTATTATCTACAATGTCGAAACCAACTACGTACGTGCTATGAAGAACAATAATCTATTTAAAATTTATTTACAGAATTCACTACATTAATTAAAGTTTATAAAACCAGATAAACCATATTGTCATCCATTGATGCAATAATAAGTTCCACTTTTGATTCTAGATAAAATCTTTTAATGGATTAGATCCTTAAAATACGTCTTTCTAGTGTCACACTTATTCATGTGTCGGCAACAATGGCTTTATTTGTGCTTTCCTGCCCCTTAATCGCTATTCAAACATTTACCATATTAATATTAAATGTCTTTGTTTACGTTCTTATTTACCAAGTATTAAATCTTAACGTTAATCCAGATTAATAAGATGAATTGACCTTATCGTTATTCTTGAGAAATCACTCGGAAATTATTATTATTATTATTTTTCCTTCGATTTGAAAAGTTTTCTATCCTTTAAAACTAAGCAAATATTAATATATTTCTTTTATTTACATGAAATCAAACTGTATTGATGATGAGTTTTAATTGAATCCAAATTGACAAAGAACAAAAGCTTATTTGATAAGCGAAAGCCATAAAAATTAACAGGTTTAATTCTAATTGGTTACAAGTAAACTAAGAATAAAAATCGGGAAAGAAAACTATTCGTCAAACCAAAATAAATGCACATTGTCTCACTCAACATTAATTAAATTAAACAAACATTAGACAACCGAGCAGCACGCGAATCATATGCCGGGTAATGATAATTAAGTCGATTTATGAATAAAACCTGGAGAAGTGAGCGAGTAAATTTTTCCCATACATTGCTCTCCCAAACAAATAAGCCTCGCCTAAATTTGAAAGCGTGAGCGGAATGTCAATGATGTATTGTTATTTAATATATTAATCAATGCTTAAAGTTTCCCCTTGAATACGTGTTAAATTTTATGTCTGCAATATTGTATCACTAATAATCAAACAAACGTGTTTAAGCCAGGTATGGCCATCAAATCAATCTTAATAAAAGGATTTTTAATATTATCCAGAAGCTGTCTCAATTTTAGCTGACGGATTCGACGAGCATTGATTTATTTTGGAGTTCTTCTATTAATAAGCTGATATTTCGTCAGTTTAAATTAACGAACCATTCAATAATTTCTTTACAACTCAATCTTAAAAAAAACATGTCTATTAATTCTAAAGAATTTTCTAACGAAGAAAACTCGTCGCAAGCTTTGCACGAATATAATTCAGCTCTAAGTAGCTCATTGGAAACACGATATAATGAGGCTTCAATAAATTCCCATATTGTATTCATTTCGAAACCTTTAAATGTTAACCCAGTCACTTCAGATGCTCAGAGACAAAGTACGAATACGAATCAAAAGAAGCCGGACAAAAAAAAGAAACGTTTAGATTCAAATACGTCAAATGAATATTTCAAACGAAGTAAATACGCGAACGAGGAAATACTTGAAGTGAACCTTGCTGCCACATTCTCAGGGTATATAGTCTTTTAATGCTAAAGTCTAAATTATCACTTATGTAAATGTTTGATTTTGTTGGAACTCAGGAATCCATCAACGTGGAGCTATGAAATAATGGTTGCCCAGCAACCTGTACGTGCACGCATGTGCGGATTCGGAGATAAGGTTTAATATTTATTATAAGCGTTTATGCATATTAAATCACACCTGTTTATGCTAAATAATATTCTATAGGATCGAAGACCCCTTTCTCCGGCACCAGTAGTCCAGCTTATTGTTAAGGATATTCAAGGGAAAATGATACAACCAAAGTAAGCTTTTGGAAAGAATTGTCGTCGTCTTGCAAATTTTTATGCACTGAATTATTCATTTTTTCTAATGTTTCATTGTAAAAAAAATACTAATTTCAATAATCTCAAAAGGGAAATAAATTGCTCATTATTTGTGGTTCATGCATCTCTTTGGAAAGAAAACGGCATCGATGAAGCCATGATAGTTGCACACCTTCCATCCAGGCTATCTCCCGCAAACTCCACACAATCTTTGACCAATAATTTACTTGGAAATCGAGCCGCATCCCCATATACATTAAACGACATCAACGGTATACCAGGAGTATATTTTATATTTTCGGATTTAAGCGTAAGAACTGATGGAGAATTTAAACTAATCTTCAATTTAATGGATCTGGGCATGTACGTTTTTATCGCAAAAAAAAGCGTCTTTGTCTTTTTATTCTTTTTATTGCTGCTCTAACAGCCTTTTCTAACGATAGAGCTACCAATTATCCTTCGACTTCGAATAATCGACGAAAAATTATTAATGTGGGATCTCCAGCGTCGGATGTTCTGGCTAGCGTATCTTCTAATAGTTTTGAGGTGTTTCCTGCGAAGAAGTTTCCAGGGATGCTTGGTATGAATAAAATACATTTTCCAATCGGTATTGAATAATACTAAAATTATTGATTATTTTAAAGAAAGCACTGCTTTAATTCGGTGTTTTTCGAACCAGGGCTTGAAGATCCCAGTGCGCAATAGTCACTTAACAAAACATAACTCACAGGAACCTCAATCCGAAGAATCATCTGACAGAATACCTGCGACTAATAAGTGATCATATGCCGAAGTCATACTCGATTATATATATTCACGGAAACGTGGAGCAATCACAATACTGATGCAGTAATTGTGAATTCATTTTTTAAATATGATATTTTGCTATTATGATTTTGTTTAAATGATATGGTATTTCATATGAATATTTTAACAGTCAGTTAATACTGATTCTATAGAAGTCATACAAACAATGGGGATGTATCGTTATGACATACTTTATGAATTTGATTTACGTAGTCATAGATTTAGTTAATGATGCATTAGTCATAGCGATAGATAATATTTAGTTTCGCCAAGATAATGAAGTCATAGTTGTTGAAAGCCTAAAGAGTTTAATGTATCATGATTATATCACTATAGATTTGATTATTTACGGAGTTCACGAGTTTAAAAGCTCACCTTTCAGCTTTATTCTTTTTCTAGTCACTAACTATTTCTTCCTCTTTCACATTGAAAGTCCAAATAGTCGCTATTTACAATTATAAAAAATGACCACTCGTAAAGGTATCACCGAAACGGTTCACGTTCTCGCTGATTTCTCTATCACTCCTATTGGCGTGGAGTCTAGTTACTCCAAGGTGTGAACCAAGACAATTTACTATTAAAGACATGTAAATAACGTTGAACTTCGATCAATTATTTTTTAATTATATAAATCATAGTACATTGCCGAATGTCAAAAAATCTTGAAAGCAACTGGGTGAGTCATTCTATCTTTGCTTTCATTTCTAATAATCTTAGGGTATTTTACTTACGCGTTCTATTTTAAAGGTTAAACTACAACCTTCACGCGAGTGGCACAAATCTCGGTAGAATCTCACAGAAGAGGCTTTATTTACGTTTCCAATTTTAAATATTTTTTTTTTATTTCTAAATGGTAACTATAGAAGGACGTTGGGACCAAGTAATGTCCGCCATTCGAAAATGCGTTGATCGTCTGCAGGAGATGGGTGTTGCTCGCAGCGAAACCAATATCCGGATTAGCGTAAATATCAAACTTTTATGTCATGTTCTTATTTTACACACAATTATCGTTAATTTGGGTTATTTAGATTCGTACTGATAAGGCAATTACCATGAAAGACAGGTAATAGTAAATTTGTTTGACAACCACACGTAATTGATTTGAGAACTTTCGATTTATATTAATAATGTCCCCTGAATTTTATCGGACCGAATGTAGCGTCCGCGTTGTTAGTGATAAGGTTGAAGCTGAAACTAAGTGATAGAACAACTGAAAATAATTGAATAAATGTAGTCAATATTTTATTAATACAATAATCTCATGTGATTTTAATAACACTCTAATTTTCAATAAGAAGTCCTAAAAACTTATTGTAAATTTAAAGATTGTTAAACTTTAATTAATTAAAACTTATTCTAAATTTAAAGTAAATTATATTTAAACCAATATATATTATATTAGTTTATCACGAAATTTATTGAATAAATCAAATAAAATGGAAGAGTTTAAACAAATCTTAAGTAGATTAGTTTATTATAAAATAGGATTTTTCTCTATATAAAAGTTTTTAATATTACATATAATGGCAATCAAAACTAATGCAACAATATCAAAATTTTATATAAAAGTTTTTAATTTTACTAATAAATATTTTTTATTTTTATATCAAAATAAAGATAATATTACATATTTTAACATATAATTTTTTCAGATTTTTTAGATTTAATCTGATCAAGTTGTTTTATTATAAATAAAATTAATAATTTTTTTATATGTTTTAATTATAAAAAATTATTAAATTTATATGTAATTAGAACAATTTGATTAAATTAAATCTAAAAATCTGAAAAAAATATATATTAAAATATGTAATATTATTACTAATTCAATATAATAAATATATAAATAAAGAATATAATTATATAAAATTAGTTATAATAATAACTTGATTTTTTTCTTTTTGTTTTTTTTTGTTATTTATTATTTTTCTATTTTTAGCTTAAATTAGATATATTAATTATATAATATTAATTATATAATTCTCTTGATATATTTATTATTTTCAATAATTATTTAATTTTTATTTTCTATTTTGTTATTAATACTTTAATATAGAACAAGATTATTAATTATAATAATTAGCTCTTAGAATTTTAATTGTATTAATAAATATTTAATAAATATTTTTTATTTTTATATTAAAATAAAAATTATAAATTATATTTTAATATATATTTTTTCTGAATTTTTTAAATAATTTAAATTTTAAAAAAATATATATTAAATATAATTTATAATTTTTATTTTTGATATAAAAATAAAAAATATTTATTAATAAATTAAAAACTTTATACAGTCAAATCTCTCTATAGTTATACCTATTTATAGTTATATCTCTCTATAATTACTCTATTTTGCTTTTCTATTTATATATAAAAATAATAAAAAAAATCTATCTATAATCACATTTTCTCTATAGTCATCAAATTTTGCTTTCCTAAGGATGATAATCATAGAGAGATTTGACTGTAATGACAATCAAAAATTAATATAATAATATCAAATTTATTAATTAAATATAGTAAAATATGAGTTTTCTTTTTATATAAAAGTTTTTAATAAATATTTTTTATTTTTATATTAAATAAAGATAATATTATATATTTTAATATATATTTTTTCGAATTTTTTTAAATTTAATCTGATAAAATTATTTTTATTATATATAAAAACAATAATTAAAACATATAAAAAAATAATTAATTTTATATACTGTCATTATTTAATATTTTAATCACATATAAAATATTATATAATATAATTTTAATAATCATTTATATTTTTATTTTTATTTTTATTTTTATTTTTCTATTTATAATTTTATTTTTAATTATTTAAATTATTTAAATTATTTAATTTAAAAATAATTTATCAAAATACCAATTATTTTTTTTTAATATCATATCATTTATTTTATTATAATATTATTAGATTTAAATTTATTCTATTTTAAATTAATTTTGTTTAATATTAATTAATATAGTATTAATAGTACTCTAATTTAAATTGTATCATTTAGATTAAATTAATATTATATTTATCATTTTTTGGTATTATACTTCTTTCAAATTAATCTTATAATTATTTTTAAGTAATGTTACTTATTATATAGATTCATATTATATTTACATGTATTTAAATAGATATAATTTAATATAAAATAAAATAATTCTCAAGTAATTCTTAAGTAATTAAGAAGTAATTGTAAAATAATTGTAAAGTAATGTTACAAGTTTGTTCACTAATCGTTAAATTAACTTACAAACGAGAACCTGGATTGGGAGAGGGTATAAACTGATAAAGAAAATATTAAGAAGAAAAGAAAGGTATCTAA